TGTGCCTGGGAGAGCAGTCAAAGCAAGGGGATCAGTTTTAATTTCTTTATTTTCTTGTATTTAATTTCAGTCAGCTGCTCCTCCTCTGCCAGTTTAGCAGAAGTTGACACCAAATTATTGAAGGAAACCTTAATCCCTTTGTTGTCCCTGAACGCTTTCATTTACCAAAACACATTCACTTTGTAATTGCCAAAGTCTAAAGTTAAGCAAAGCGAGCCTTTAAAAGGGAGCAGTGTCTCTTGCAACACTTGATTGTTTTCTAATTGATGGGCTTGTCCAGCCAGAAACTGTGTGCTTTTTTTCTGTGTAAACTGATAGGATCATTGTATTTAATCAGTAAGATTGATTAAATAAGTAGATAGTGATAATGATAGATTTGAAAATTTTTATGGTAATTTTAAATGGTACCACAGCTCATTTAGCCTCCTTGTCAGCTTCCTTTGTTTGTTACAGCAGTTTCAGTTCTGTCCTGATAAGAGATTTCAGCAAACAATATGCTGGATTTCCTCAGGGACCCTGTTAACTATATTAAATTACCACATTTTAAGTCGCTAGATAATTGTACAGTGCATTTTGTAACAGTTTTCATCAATCATCTCATTGCAGACAACTTGCACTATTATCTTGGTATGCGAGTCTTTGCAGGATTAAAGGCTGGTAAAAAAGGGCAACATTCTCAGCTGCCCATGACTTCTACAAGCATGAGAAACTGAAATCAGGATGGCAGGAGGTTCATGACATAGTTGTGGTTTGGTGCTGCAATGGGGTCACACACCACAGCTGTGGTTCAGCATCAGCAGCCTGCTACCGTGCTGAATTGTCTCTTTTGTTAGTGGCTATTGTACCTGGGATACATTATACCAATGGCTTCCTGCAAATGAAATTGCTTTCCTTCAGGGAAGTCCAAAAAACAGTGCAGCATCTTGATCCAGTGGGTGCCTGTTTTTGTGCTTCTCTGGAACTTCTTTCCTTTGGACCAAGCAGACTCAATTTTTTCATTCTCTATCCTTAAGCCCTATTTGCTAAGCTTGTCAGCATTCTTGTTTGGACTGTGATTAGTGTAAATCATTCGTACGTACATGAGACCAATAATGGAAATTGCAATCAATGGCAGCAAGGAGGAAAGACAGGTAATTGTTGTTTCCTGCACAGAGCAGCAGTGTAGAGTGACACATGCTTGGTTTGCAGTGACATCTTGGTGTCTTGTGACTGACTGCAGTCACAAGCTCAGAGCCCCACCTCTGCCATACTGTTGGCAATTGTATCAACCAGTAGCTATTGCTATTACCTGATCAATTATTCTTTCTTTTTATCAATGCCTTTGATTTCTCCTTTCGGAATGCAGCCAATTGCACTGGTTGTTGGCATTGATGTTCTGAACCCTCATTGAATTTTATCCTACATAATAGTATCCAAAGACAGTCCTCCAAACTGCTTCTAGCTCTTGATACCTCACCTTCTGAGTTATTAATGAAAGACCCCTGTGTTCTATTTCCTGTGATAATACTAAATCATTCTCCTGTCATTATGAACTGCCTGGCTGGTAGTGCAGAGGTGTAGGACCAGCCACAACCTGTGAGAAATAACTTGTGGTAGTTCAAGCACAGATAAGGTGATCAGGAGCTCCCATGGTTTCTTTTCCACAGCTCGTTGTCAGCTTGCCTTCTCTTTCTGGAAATGAGTATTTCAGCAGGCAGTGTTAATTTGCTGTTGTTAATTTGCTGTTGTTTGCACAGCAATGAAAGCACTGCTTGTGGAAGATGTCTCTGACCCACCTGTTCTGTGCCCTCATACACAGCTTGGTATCTCCCCTTGCCATGCTACCCAGAGAGATTTAACATACTCATAGGATGTTAACATGGAAAACGTGAGTTAGCCATGAGGAGTGTGAATCCCATCTCACAGGGAGGTTGGAGGGGAGATTGTTGGTGGGCACGGTGTTCCTGTGCTGAAGAGCAGTGCTGGAAACCTGCATGTTAGCTGTGTGTCCAAGGATTACAGCTGTGGCACCCAGTTTCCTCCACTTGCAGCAGCTGTGAGTGGCTGTGGGTACATCTGAGGCTTACTGCGACCCTCAGCTCCAACCACCAGAGAGGGATTATGGCACTGTCACTTCCCCAGCCTCGATGGTGCATAAGGAGGTACCATCAGCTGTGTTGTGTTTTCCCTTTCTCTGCCTTCTCTTTGTCAGTGGCAGGAAGAGGTTGCAGCCAGCCAGCCCATCGCAGGGAGCAGATCTGTAGAGAAGATGAGCTGTCATTCCCATGGGACTCCCTGCAGCAGCCTTTGCAATGCAGAGCTCAGGTGCCCCCATGACACACCTGGCAAAGAGGTGTAGCTGTGCTGGCAGGCTAGAGGCCGTGTGTGTCTGTGTCCACACACCCACACAGTATTTCTGATGCTGATCAAGAGCAAACAGATGGTGCTTTGTTGTGTGAAACCCATCCTGAAAAATGCTAGCAGCTAACAGTAAACAGTACAGGGCTTGCTTTTTCTGGGGCTGAACAAGGGGGCAGGTTTTTGACAAAACAAGAGTTTTGTCAAACTCTTACTGAGGGTTCTGGACAAGACAAGGGAAGCCCAAGTCCACAAGGGAATGTGTGACACTCACTTGTTTGTGAGTGCCCGTAGAGCAGATAGTCCCTGTGCTTTCAGGGGCTCTAAGGCTTGAGTTTGTACCCCCCATTCTCGACGTGGTTGATTTTGCCAGTACCTCATCACTTGCATTAACTCTTTGCATGTTCCTTTTCTCCCACAGGCCAGGGAAGGAGAAGTAGCCATCATAGATAAAATTCTGGAGAATCCAGCTTTGACGTCTAGAGACTTTCAGGAATGGAAACAAATGTATCTTGATCTCTTCATGAACATCTATGAAAGCAGCCCCCCGAGGGACTCTGTAAATGGCTCTCCTGAGGTTGAAGCACTTATAGCTTCGTTAGCACACACTCACTCTTACATAGAAACACATGTATAAAAGTCTCTTTTTGTCCATTTGCTACACTCCAGCTCTTTACTTAAGTGCATAAAGTAGTTTTTATATCAATATGTGAGAGCTCTAGTAAATTATATTTTAATGCTACTCAGCTGTGTGAAACCTTCAGTGGTCAACAATACCACTTCTTTAATGAGGATTTGTATATTTTATATGCTACTAATGCTCTGCTTGTGTTTACCTTCTGTGAATTAAAAAACATGATCTTTAGCTATTGAAGAAAAGGATTTAAAAGCATTTTTGGAAGACTGTGGCCCTTCATGCAGGAAGTTCCACATGCTAAAGCTTTTGTTATCAAAGGTCAGTTTTACAATGATATTTTATATCATATAATTCCAGTATTGCATTGCATTTTTGGAGTGCAGGTACTGTTTTGGTGGTGGGAGAAAACCAATTTTTGTATTTCATGAGAAACTCTAGGAGTTTTCTTAAATAACAGGGAAAATGTGTAATGCAGTGGTTGTGTTTCAGTTTTGTCAAACACATAAAAGGTTGAAAATCGGCAGACAAAAAAAATTACTAATTCATTCAAAAGGTTAGGTCTTATTTCCTTGTGCTTTTTTTAAGCCTGTTGCTAAGGTTTGCCGCCAATGCAAAGGGATGCTGGTTTGTATTATAATTAAGACCAAATTGTGTGTTGTCTCTTGATCACATTAGGTTGATTTAAAAAAATAGTCATGGTACTGTGATTGATGATGCTTTTGCACTGAAGGCATCAATATAAAGTGCAGAATTTGACAAAGAGAAAATGTAGACTTTCAACGTCCTTGGTAGCAGCATTTCTTTAGCCCAGAACAGCAGCAGTGGAAAAGGTTTTAATGAAATGCTTCAAATCTGAGATGCTTTGAAGATTCCCACAATAGAAAAGGAGTGAATAGGATTTTTCAGGTAGTTTCCTATGTGTTTTCTGAGCTGTGAAATTTGGCTGTATTGTATGCAGGGATAATGTGTGATGAGAGTAGAGCTGAGCACAGAACCTGAAAAATAACCAAGGAGTAAAAAAGCCTCTGGTTTGCTTTTGAAGGGGAAGGGATGTCTCTGGGTTCTGCTGAGTTCACAAGCCAATTAAAATATTTTAAACTTCCATGAGATTTGTTTTCTGCTGAAGATAACCCAGTGAATATGAGAGGAAATAGATCCTTAGAGTTAGGCACATGCCTGAAATAAAAGTGGGAATGAGCTCTTAAATCATATATTTACTTTTTATGGGCTTGGTTTTGAAAAATGTTAAGAGCATGACAAAATATTTCTGCTGCTCTTCAGTATTTTGCTGCGTAAGTTAGGACTCATGACATGATTTAATAATGCTCATGTGGAAAGAAAAAGCTTCCATTATGCTTTAGTGAGTTGTACTCTTTACCAACTTGAGACTATTGTCTGTACAGCTCAGTGAATGTACTTTAAACTTTATGAACTCTGATATTTCCTGGCAGTTATATCCATGAAGGAAAGAATTGACAGACTTATTTATTTTCTTTCTTTCTTTCTTTCTTTCTTTCTTTCTTTCTTTCTTTCTTTCTTTCTTTCTTTCTTTCTTTCTTTCTTTCTTTCTTTCTTTCTTTCTTTCTTTCTCTCTCTCTCTCTCTCTCTCTCTTTCTCTCTTTCTCTCCTTCTCTCCTTCTCTCTCTCTTTCTCTCTCTCTTTCTCTCTTTCTCTCTTTCTCTCTTTCTCTCTTTCTCTCTTTCTTTCTCTCTTCCTCTCTTCCTCTCTTCCTCTCTTCCTCTCTTCCTCTCTTCCTCTCTTCCTCTCTTCCTCTCTTCCTCTCTTTCTCTCTTTCTCTCTTTCTCTCTTTCTTCTTTCTCTCTTTCTCTCTCTCTTTCTCTCTTTCTCTCTTTCTCTCTTTCTCTCTTTCTCTCTTTCTCTTTCTTTCTCTCTCTCTCTCTTTCTCTCTCTCTCTCTCCCTTTCTTCCTTTCTCTCTCTTTCTCTCTCTCTCTCTCTTTCTCTCCCTTTCTCTTTCTCTCTCTCTCTCTCTCCCCCTGTCTCTTTTTTCTTTTTTTTCATTCGCTCCTCTCTCCTTTCTCTTTTTTCTTTTCCTTTTTCTACCCCTCATTTTCTATCTTGTTATTGTGTTTGAATTGCAAATGTTCTGCAGATTTTGCACAACTGTACAGAAGAGTGGCCTTTCTGTAGCCCATTTTCAGTAATCTTATATTCAAGTTATATGGATGACAAATCATGTATTAACGTTTGTATAGAATTCTGGATCCAGTGTAAGATTTGTACTATTAGAAGAATATTGTTTGTATAAACTGGACATTTATTTACTGCATGGGTACTGACTTGTATATTAAATTTGTGAGGTTTTTGTAAATTTCTCTTAAAAAATGCTTGACTTGAAATGGATTGTGCTATTGTCCCAAGCATTTAGATTCTCTTGCTATTGTTTTACTGGACCAAAAGTAAATATATTCATATGAAAAACTCTTTATATCTGATGGATGTATATGCACATTGTGTAGTTGATTCCTTGTCAAAACCAAGGCAGTTCAGAAGACATAGATCTGTTGCTATGCAACAGCCATTCTGCCTGCACTTTACATTAGTAAAGTTAGCTTGATTGCTTTAAAGGTGAAAATTAAACATTACAGTTTTTTAAGCTAGTCTGGTGACAAAGAACATGCGTCCTTTCCATTGTGCTGCCTTCTTTTAAGACTATTAAATGTTCTTCTATATATATTTTTATTGTATTAACTCTCAGCCTAGAAAGGGAACACTGTAAAATTAAATACAATAAATTTAGCTTTTAAATGAACATTTATGGCTCAAGATTCACTTTATACCAGATTGATTCTGTGGCATCTGACCATTTTGTCTGCATTTCACATATCCATGTATTTTGAAGTACCCCTGTGTGACTTCAAACACTGCCAGTGTGTCCAAAGGGGAGTGACACTACTGCTGATTTGTATGTAGGCAGACACTGAGTAAAGACTTCTGAAAACCTTCAGTCACCTCCCTCCCCTTTGTACTCTTCGATGAAAGTAAACCTTTTTTGACTGCAGGGTTCTCTCATGTAGCAGTTCAACAGCAACAAAGCATTTTACCCTTCTTGCCTAGTACATAGTATAACAAATAATACCTTTTCCTTGGCAATACTCGCTACTAATTCTTGTAGGCATCAATTTTCTAGTCTTTATACAGTTCTCTTTCCTTTTGCTTAGCCATAGAATAAAAACTCAGTAGCACTTACCAGCTGGGAAAATTACCTCTGATTAAGAAAACAGAAAAGATGGATCATATTTTTTAATATTTGAAAAATCTGACTTGCAACACCTACTAATTGCTATCTAGGTATTATCCAAGAGTCAAGGATTACAGTTCTCACTCATCGCCTCTGAACGTGCTACTTGCTACATCCTTGCTCAGTGAGATCAGCTTCCATCTTTATAAATCCTAGATGTGTTTCCTGTGCTGGGGCCAGATTTTCTTGCCTGTTTCCACCAAGTATTTTGCTTATCCAAGCAAAACTTTCACTCTCACATTCAGTGCCACTGCAATTTTCTTCTCCAGGACTGCCCTGCTCACTCATCTCCTGGGATGGATATTCCTCAGCAAGGGAGCTCAGCAGTTGGGCAGCTTCTTCTGCTGGCTATCGTTGTCCTGCTCTTCGGCTACCTCGGAGAGCTGGAGCACGGCGCATTGCAGCCCACACCACGGCAGAGGGGCCTTGCAGATCTCTTCCCAGCCATCGTTGTCGATGTCATAGCCAACCACGTCTTGCGTGGAGACCTCCAGGGAGTTTTGCCATTTCTTTCCCCCAATGAGAAGAGCTGTTTCCTCTACCACTGCCAGGCCGTAGGAGAATCGATCGTAGATCAGTGGTCTTAACCGAGTCCACTGGTTTTGATCCGGGTCATACCTTTCTATTTCAGAGAAGGGTTCATATAATCCCAGAAAGGTAAATATGGATCCCCTGATTGTTGCCATCTGATGCCCAAACCGAGCAATGCTCATCGGGGCGCGTTTCACCCACTGCCCTTCAAGTGAGCTCAGAGAATAAACGTCATTGCTTGTGCTGGCTGGGGCCGAGTACTTGCCCCCAGAGATGTATATGGTGTTCTTGCAAACAGCACTGGCATGGCCATGTATTCTGCATGGCAATTCCCTGGCCTTCGTCCATCTGTCTCTGCTGATGTCATAGACTTCCACAGATGAATGCAGCGACTCAGCCTCACCCCTTCCACCAATGGCAAAGATATCCTTGCCTAGGACACAGCAGGAAAACTGGCATCTCTTTTCCAGCATGCCCGTGATTTGGGTCCATGTGTTAAATCTTGGATCATACCGATGGACCTTGTTTGTAACCGATAAGGTCTTTTCAATTTTAGCATCATCCAGGGTACCACTTTGTATTTCCCCACCCAAGACATAGAGGAAGTTCCCCACCACACACACACTGTGGTTCTGCACCCTGTCCTGCAGCTGCGTGAGGGTTCGCCATTTGTGATTGTAAACATCAAAGGCCACCACATCGGTGACGAGCCCCTCACTGGCTGTGCCTCCCCCCAGTAGAATGATCCGAGTTTTCTGGTTCCTCAGTGTGGTGGACTTATCCTGCAGGACAGGCTGTTTGAATACAGATGTGTGATAATTTATTGCTTTTATGATCAAGCACTTAATACCTGCTGAGAGGGACACTTCTGACTGCGTGTAGGTTTTTCTCAGCTCTTCCACTGGGATGAGACCGTATCTTATGTGCTCTAGAAGGCTGCTTGCATGATCCAGCCTGGATTTATCCTGCTTCAACCACAGCAGGACAAGATTTAACAGGCGGCATTCTTCCACCATGGGGAGATCTGGTGATTGAATCACTGCTAGCAAAGACCTGAAGTTCAGCTCGAGAAGTCCTGACAAATCCAAGTCCAGCAGCTTCCAGATATTTTTGATAATGTATTTTTCTGTGGCTGCTAGGGCATCTGGCAGGTAGAACTTCCTGGCCACGTTGGCAGAGAAGCAGCAGTTTTCCAGGGCGAGATTGTTAACTAAGTACTGACTGCACAAGCCAATAGCATCAGACACTTGCAAGTAGCTTGCAGCTTCCAAGGTATCCTCCAGGCTTTCAAAGGAAAGGGGCAGCAAGGATGTGTAAATGAAATCCAGGATGTGCTGGAGCCCAGTGGGTGAGATAACTTGCAGGTGAATGACACTGGCTTTAGACTCTTGGGTATAACTTTTGAACATGGCTCGGAAGTAGTCGCTGGAGCATGCCAGCAAGGACTTGTGTGCAGGAAACTCGTTTTCTTTCACTTTCAGCAAAATATCACAGAGAAAACCCTCTGACCTCAGGCTCTGGTATTGGGCAAGCACAGCAGTGCAGTGTGCTTTGCAGTAGGACAGGAAGTAGCTCATGGCAGACAATGCAACGCTTTCCCTTGAGCTATTACAGCTAAAATGCAATTAGATATTGAAACAGCTGCCTTACTCAACAGCCATTGCTTGAATGCCCAGCAGACCTCCAGCTGTTAGAGAAAAGCTCAACCCCAAAAAAAGTCAGTCTCTTGCCTGGCACAGGGGGACAGTTAGTAGATTTAAAGTGAATTCATTCCTTTACAGAAAAATTAGCTGAATGTCGTATCACCTGTAGGATGCTTACTTTTCTTGTCTCCACAAGTTGCGCAAGGATGAGGAGTCCACAGCTGTGCCGAGCACTTCCTTGGCCGGCCATCAGGTGACAGATGAGGGAGCTAGATGACAATCCCAATAAATGGCCCGTCGTGTCTGCCCAGCCGTCGCCCCCAGCCCTTCTCGCTCCACAGGCAGATCAAAGGGATCCTCTCTGGCTGCCAGCGCGTGGCTCTGAGCAGACACGGATGAGAAGAGAGCGCTGACTTTTCTCCTTGTTTGTATTTTGAACTCCAATCAGTTTAGACGTCACCACCCCTGGGACAGCAGCCCCCTTTCCGTCCTCTTTCCGCATGGTCTTGGGAAGCCTCAGCCGAAGATCAAATCAGCGCTCAGGGATTATTACGGGAAGATTTTCTGAGCCCATAAATCTTTCCCCGGCAGCCACTAAGACAACCAAAATACCGTGATTAGTCACTGGTTCGATTTGACATGCATTTCTGGCTCTTTGCTTCACGTGACACCTCCATAGCTCACAGCTACCAGAATAGCCACAGGCTCATCCCCTTGTCCCCCTCGCCTGGGAGCCAGCCCCGGGCGGGTGAGAAATGGGGCCAGGGACTGGGGTGAACAGAGGAGCTTCCAGTGACAGCCACAGCCAAAGCAGCTGACTTGGAGTGACCTGGCTGGAAATCACAAGGGTAACACATTTGCACAAAGTGGTGACAAAAATAGATTCCCCCAGTTCGGCCAATAAACCAAATTCTGTTTATAGAGGAGGCTTTGCATAATCGTCCTCTCAGTTACCACCTGGGAGCAAACCCAGAGCCCCCAGGGATGGGCCAGAGCTGTCTTGCTCAACTTTCTCACTTTCAGTTTGTCCCAATTAGAAGCACTTATACAGGGATTATCCCTGATTTTCACCTGGGCAGTTCAGGGTCTAATTTCTACCAGGAATAGCAGCTCTGGGCAGGCTACACATTCTGACCTCATAAAGCTTGCTTTTATTTCTTCTTTTTTTTTTCCTGCATAACTCTGGATGGAGGTGTTCAGGAATCTCCTCCCAACACCTTTCATTCCAAATCAAACACCCTCAGGACTTGCAGACCTTTGCCAGGGTTATTAAATGCCTGATCATTTTGCTGCACTGTGAGCCAGCAGACTTGGGAGCAGAGAAGAATCCCACAGGATTGGAAAATTTTGCTTTTTGCTTAAGCCCAAGGTAAAGCCTTTTTACTGTATTTGTTTATGTGATGTCATTAAATTCTGGCTTACCCGTGTAGCTGAGCATTGTTTGGAGCTGACTGGATCCTAATATGGACTGTGCATGCTGTGTGACTGTTCCAGTGAGCTTAAACTCTCCTGCTAAACAGACTGATACCTACACATGCTCTACTCTGTTTGTGGGGAAGGACTCCAAAAAAAATAATTTTTTGTTGCTGTATAGCTCTGAAATCTGATTTCCTTCTTGAATCCACTTTCTATAATGAGATCTATTTATAGACCATAAATCAGGATTTTGCTAAAAGATCTTGCCCTTTGTTAGCAACACAACTTGTTTGGGCAGTAGGGATGAAGGAGAAATGGGATGCTTGTTTCTTTTTCCCAGTGGTTTTGCCTATGTTCACACTGGGACAATTCTAAGGTATTTCAGGTGTTAGCAAAGCTGTGCAGTTGATTCCAAGCTTCAGTTTTGATACTTCTCCTGTTTTGGAAGTAGAGGCCAAAGGCCAGGTTCCTCTGTCACCCCTTGGCAGTCATGAGTCCCGGTGGTGAGGGACCAGGCCTTAAATGCTCCCACTCCTAGAGACAATGCTTTCCCCAGTTTAACTCCATCAGGTACCAGATTTCTGTAACAGGAGGTACAGCTAAACCTCCACTGTTTTGAAATAGCAGGTGGGTGGGCACTGTCCATCACTACTTCCCTAGGAGCATGAGGTGTGGGGCAGGTGAGCTCAGGAGCTGTGCCTGCAGCACAGGGCTGAGTTTGAGGAGAGCTCCTGCAGCAGTTTTGGCATATGAACCTCCTGGCATCACCTCCTCCTCACCAACAGTCCTTGTCCTCCACCAGCCCTTAGCCTGGGCTGCCACAGATGCTCTGACACAGCCGGGAAGTGGTGCACAGGGAGAAATGGGGAAATCCCAAAACCAGAAGAGCAGAGAGGTCCCTGTGGCCAGGCCAGGTCTCCAGCCTCCCTCACAGTGTGAGCTCCCAAGCAGATGTAGCCCAGCAGAGGTGAGCAGGGGCTGGGTGTGTGGCTGGGGATGCACCACCAGCAGAGACCCTGTGCACAGAGCCGGGCTGGTCTGCTGGGGAGCCAGGGCCACCAGCCCGGGGAAGTGCATGTGCTGGTACCACAGAACAGCTGGGATGAGGGCACATAAATAAATCCTGCTCCCCCCAGATCCAGATGTACCTGAAAGAGGTCAACTTGGCCAACTGAGGGTATTGCCAGGAGCAGCCAAGGGATTTTTCTGGCCCCCGTGCGGCACTCCTGCCTCTCCAGTGATGCATTCCCAGTCAGAGGCAATGTGCCTTTTCCTCACCCCCAGCAAAGCCAGGCCAGGCACTGCCCAGTCTTGCACCACTTTGGCTGGCAAGTGTGAAGTACCAGCACAAGCTCTGTAACTTCAGAGAAGCCAGCAGGGCTCAGTCTGAACACCCCTGCCTGTGCCCAGGGTGACTCTGTGTTAACTGGTTGTGATCGCTTGCTTTCCAAATGAATCCCATCCGTGGGTGGCTGTTTATACAGGTCAGTGACTGGTGCTGATTTAACTGAACTGATTTAACACCACTGCCAGGTAAGCAGGTCCTATAATTGTATGCAGATTTGCTGTGCTATTCCCTCTCAAACCTACTTCATCTTCATGGCAAGCCAGCTAATAGTAGTAGTAAGAATCATGGTGCTTATAAAGCTGTTTATTTGAGTGGTGATTTTTTTTTTCTTTGGCTTATAATTGAAATAAAACCACATCTTTTCCAGTCCCTTGCTCTGCAGGGGTAAAAAAAAAATCATTATCAAAATGAAGTTTTTCCCTACTTCACTTTCAGGCAGCTAGCCTTGTCTAACTAGGGAGCTTGCTCAGCCAAGACCCTTCTTTGTCAACAAACAAATTACCTTCATGCAGCAGCTCAGGTCTCCAGCACCTTTGGAAGAATATTTAATGTCCATCAGTAAGAGAACAGACAATGACTAAACAGCTAACTTACAAATCTCAGCACGAGACCTAGCACTAAGTGGGATGCAGTCAAACCAGGATCTTATTTTCCTCAGGCGCAGTTTGCTAATGTTTGACTCACTAGATGGTGCTTAAAATTAGGGAAATATTAGTGTTTCAATGATGCTGATTTGCTGGGAATAGATAATACATTTTTAATCATGTGCATCATTTAGACTTTAAATTAGATTTCAGGCTTTCAGTATGTTTTCTGTTGAAGTGATTGCTCTACTACAGTAGGCAGTCTGAAATAAAAAAAAAATTCAGATGTGTGCTGTGAAAAATGTTGGCTTCCACACGTGCAGAGGTTTTTTTCCTATACAAAATTGAAAAATGGCCCAAGTGGCAATGCCACATTCAATTTAATATTGCAAGTAGGCCATTGGTTAACAAAGAATTTAATTATTATTTTTAATTTTGCCAAATATTTTTTAGGAGTAAAGATTACAAAAAGAGTTGTACAAGTGATATTAGGTTCATTACTAACAAGTGGCTTACTATAAAATATTTGTTACAGAAAAATTCCACAGCAGAGGATTACCAGGCTACATTTTGTTCCAAAAGAAATCAGTGCAGTCCAGAAGACAACAGAGTAAATATTTCAGATGCTTGATAATGTACCACATGAACAAATAACAGCAAAATGAGCCAAGTAATGAGTATAGCCATACAGGTTTCCTAGAAGTGCTAATCAGAAAGATCATATTGATTTAAGTTTGTGAAAATCTTTGGACTACAGTCTGTTCTTCATCCTTGAATAATCATTCACAGTAGTATTTGGGTCAGCACATCTATTTAAAGAAAGGATGTTTAGCCCAGGAAAGCAGTCCTTAAGAGCAAAACAGTAAGAGGGAGGAATTTTCTTGCAGCTAAAAGCAATGTCTGGTGAGATCATGTCTGAATATAAAAGCAAGAGGGAAGGTTCCCAGCTTGCATGAGGTGGGTTTAGGCTGTGAGGGTTCCATTTTGGCAGGGTGAGTGGTGCTGCCTGTGGCTTTAAGCACTGTCCGAGTGGTGCCCACAGGAGACTGTCTCTGTGAGCTGGGGGAGCAGGAAGGCAGCATAAAAGTGCCTCCCCCAGCCTGGCCCCAGCCAGGTCAGAGGAGTTCTGCAAACCCTCAGCACCCTGGATCCATCCATGTGCCACCTCAGAGGGGTCTGTGTCTGGGGACAGTGCTGGCAGCAAAAACCATGAGTGCAAGGATCCATCTGCCTCCAGGGAGAAGAGAGGTTTGGTATGGTCAGGAGTAAGAGCAGGGATCCCAGCCAAAGCCTGCTGCAAGACCTTGGCTGTGTGGCACACTCCTGTGGCTCCGTGGAAAAAGAGGAGGAAAGGAGGAAATACCACTGGCACACCTGGGCTGGGAGTGGCCATGTCCCAGCTGAGTTACTCCAGCACTAACCACACCTGTGCAAGAAAGCATCCTGTGTCAAATTGTGAAAGGCAACATGGAATAACTTTCAATCAGACAGTGCCTCATTTATTTTCTCTCCCTGTTTTTTCAGGTTTCGTTTGCCTCCTGTGAAGACAGATGTTGTTCCAGCTTCCACTGCCATCTCAGTGGGTTAGATATGAGCTTCCCTGGTGAATAAAACACAAGTTGGAAAAATTTTGACTTTAGTTCCCATTCCAGAGCAACTGCAGTGGGATGAGTCAGGCACTGCAGCCACAGGATAATGGAAGAGAATGTGTATTTTAATGAGCCCATTTCAGAGCAGATGCACTAATAGCTTTCACAGCACCTCACTGCTGAGGGTGGAGGGCTGTTAGGGGTTCATCTGTTCCTGCGATGGCCAGGTGGCACCAGAGATGCTCTGCACTGAGCCCTGGCTTTCACCCCTGGGCAAGGAGTGCTGCCTGTGCTGTTATTGGAGCAGAGAGGGACCTACAACCCCTGCCCAGGGGCATCTTCCCCCTGCATCCAGATCAGAGATGCCCACAGACACCTCTGGCCACTGACTTTGCACAGCATGGGTATGCACAGCCCTAGCGGAAGCTGTTCTTTTCTCATGGGTCCCTTCCACAAGTATGAAAGCCCCTCTTCTATAAAAGGACCATTTCTGACCCCCAGGTGGTATTCCTGCCTCACAAAGACCTTGGTGCTGGTTGAACTGGGTTCCCAGCCTCTATTTTGCTTGGGTGCAGGTAGTGGCAGCAGCTGCAGCTTTGTGTGACCACTGGTGGCAGCAGGGCTGGGCTCTCCCACCCAGCAGCTCCCAGGCACACAGCCTGTCCAGCCTGACCTGCTATCCATGGTCACACATGCATCCAGCACAAAACCCCTACAACTGGGGTACACAGCTCAGGTCTAAGAAAAGGGTGAGGAACTGGGGACTAGCCTCCCACAGTTCAGTGGTCTTTGAATCCATTTACTTGTAATTAGAATGAGGATGAGTTTTTGTAGAGATGTAAGGAACAGCCAGTGATCTGAGTGATCAATCAGATCACAGAGGAGAAAACTGACATTTTCCTGTATTGGGATGCCATAGAAATGAAGTAAAGCTGCAGTGTTGAAGTAAAGCTGCCTGTCTCTGAAACCAAGGTGCTTTTTACATAAGCTGTTAGGATTCAGCTCTACTATCCTCTTCAATTTTCTAATTGACATTCAAGCAAATGCTCTCCAAGACATGGGCTGTTGGTGAGCAAAGTAAAGGTTACACTGTAATCAGCTGCTGTTATTGCATGAGATAATGAGATCCTGATGTCTACACTCAGCTGATCACTAAAGGTGTTCCTAGGGTCCATACACTACTGTCGTCATGGTTGTGATCACTGTCAGCAGCACCACCTCATTATCTCATGACTTGGACTTGGTCCCTCCATGTCATGGAAGTCCCAGGCTTATCCTTGGGACTGCAAGGATTGCACCTGCACATGCTGATCCTTTTTCATTTACTCACAAGCTCTCAGGTTTGAGAGTGGGTGAGCATCCATGGGTGAAGTGCAGCTGGAATTAATTGCACATGCCAAAGGATGAAGGATGGATGACAAACCACCAGGTGTCTAGAAAGCTTTTTTCCCTCAATGTCTCTTGACTGAATAAAGCCATAATGGAGTGTGACAAAGGCATTGCTGGAATGTGTGTCATTTACCCCCCTAATCTCCATGAGTTACAGACTGCTGTGTGACTAGCAAGACTCTCTGATCACTTGCCAGGCTGATCTCAGAGCAGTCCATAGTGGCATACACAGTCTCTAAATTCCACTCCTGAAAGAAATTATTAGGGTAGTTACAGAAATTGTGTATGCCAAATTTTCATCCTCAGGCCAGACTCCTAGCAGACCATGCAGGATTTTCAGTTATCTCCCCTCCTTCCCTAGTATGATCTGGATGCCAACTCTGCATGCACATAAACTGCGGATAGCAGTGAGCCAAACACCTCATCTCCAAGTCACTCTCCAAGAACTAATCTATGAGCTCACTTTCATTAATTTTAATTTTGAGTTCTTGTGACAGGAACAATGCAAATATTGACTCTGTCATGGAAGTGCAAAGGTTTGCCTGCACAGAAAAAAACACATAGATAGTGTGCCCAAAACAGCTTGAAAGACTGTTCTATATTCAGCAAGTTTATTTTGGTCTCATCTGTCTAGGATAAGGATTGACATAAGTGACTCTTGAAGGGAGTGACCACTCAGGCCCTGGGCCCCAGCAGTGTGCACCTGGCATGACAGTGCAGCAGCATCTTTCTGGTACAACAGCAGAGTTTTCAGGGGGCCTTTGCATTTTTCCTGAAGCAGGAAAATCATTGCTCTATGTTAGTTCTTCTGTCACACTCAAGAAAGGAAACTGCAGACAAGTGAAGAAAAAGCAGGTGAAGAGGACAGATGGACCTGAAACTCTCTGCGGGGAAACACAAACTTTGAAATGTCTAAGAGCAAAACACCTTCCCAACACTGCAAAGACTTACCTGTCCATTCATCTTCCAGGTGGCCCATCTCTCCAGGACAGGTGGTATCTCTCAGCAGAACCATGGGACTTGTCTGACAGTGTAAGTCAGCAGCCCTTGGATGCATCACTCCAGCCATGCCGAGGCACCCAGCAATGCACCTGGGGCAAGCACACACCCTGCTCAGGAATGCAGGTCAGCCACAGGGGTGGTCTGGGTGGACTGGCAAAACTCCTCCTGCAGTAAAGAGTGGCTTTGGGGATGAAGGTGGGGAATACAGCTCAGCAGGGTGCCAGGTTCTGCCAGAAAATTCTTAGTCTTCACACACAAAAAATAGTACAATTGCACCTTCCTCCTCCACTAAAGAAAGCAGTGCTGGTGTCAAGGAACCTCCTCTGATCCCAACAGTCATGTCCAAGGTGAGGATGCTAACAAGAGCTGAAGTTCAGTGAGAAATGTGGTTGCCTCCATTTCTTTTTTTAAATTACAAGTAATAACACAATATTTTCCGGAGGTCATTCAAGGACAGAAATACAGAGATGACAAATGTAGTCAGAGGAAACCTGATTTCAAAAAGTAATTAGGTTTATATATGTAGAGCAGTAGATAATCTCTCTGCCTGCGCCTTCTTTAGCTCACAGTAACATATGAATATGCCTACAGCCCTAGCAAAAACACCAAACCAAACCAAAAACACCAAAAGAAAAGTCACAAAAACACCAAAAGAAAAGTCAAAGTATTAGCTTCACAAACTAGACTAGAGGCACACTTTCAGTCCATCATTATGCAGGCAGATACTGTGCACTGCTGGTATAGCACTTCATTACACCAGCTAAGTCAAAACTTTTAAAAAATGCATTGTATTAAGTAAATTCTCCCATACTTCCCAACATCAGCACCCTAACAAAATTTCCACGGTTTGAAGATTATGCTGTCTGGAAAGAAAACACTCAGGTTCAGGACATACCTTGAAATAGCCATAGCCAGTCTTGACACACACCAGCTGTACACATAATATAAACAGTCTGTACAAACAAACCACACACCCTGATATTTCTGCTGCTCCTGACTGTGGTTTAGGGGCTGTAAGTTGAAATTATAAACAGAATATGAAAACAGTCACCATACAAATCACCTGTATGTTTTTCCCCAAGCAGGTTTATTTGCCTTTGATGATATAAAATTGCTGTTAGAAGTCTAACAGATCTTCTGCAGGGAGCTATATTTTGCAATTTTCTTCAAATGAACTTTGTGGTTGCGTAAGTATTTTTCAGTCCAAAGTTTACAGAGTTATATGGAAATAGAGACTGGTTTTGGTTCCTTCAAAACCAATAGAAATTTTGCCATAAATTCTGGAACAAGCAGAAAGACAACTTTTTTTAGCACAGAGAAGCTTGGGAGGCTGTCTCAGCTTTATTTTTCTACCTTATGCACTGGATTTCTCACCTGATATGCAGGGTATAATCAGCTCCCAATGGTCCTGTTAGAATAAAGGTCATTTTGAAGATCAGACCCTTTACAACTGAGCCCCTTATCTGCTATAGAAGAGAGTCTGGTTAGTTTCTACCTACAGCACTTTATTTTTAATGGGTTAACTTTTGCTGAGTAGAGATTATCAGTGGCTTGTATGGAGTGAGCAGGCCCTGGTGAGCAAGGATAAGGAAGGGCAGCAATAACCTGTGCTAGGATGTTCCCATTCTGCAGCTTTCACTGATGCTTTAGGGAGCAGAGTCCTCAGACGCCAGTGTCCAGTGTAATGTGGGTGCCCTGATCTCACCTGGGTTACTTCAGAAGCAATAATGTTTGCTACTGCTTCAACTTCTGGAAATGTTTAATTAAATGATAAAAAGGTTGATTTTTAAATTTTTTTCCTGCTAGTCAGATCAGGCATTCTTCCTGATCTTCCTCATATTTTCAGAAAATAGTTACTTTGAGAAAATACTGCCTTTCTACAGCTTCTGGAATTGCAACACATTGCCATGAGTCCACAAAAAAAAATACTGCAGAGAGCTTCAGTTCCTATAGGCCATTTGTGGTTTCCCACGTACTGAAATTCTCAACTAAAAAGACAAACAAGAGGATGAACAGGCATAGCTAAGACATCAGAAACAAAAGTATTCAGGTCACTTTCAAAGGCAGAAATAGCAGTTAGAGGCCTAGGTCCCATCAGGCAGCTAAACCACCCTAATGGCCATTGTTCCTCATGACAATGTCCTTCCCACTTAGCAAAACACAGTGATTCTGTTATCAAAGTGACACCAAACTGTCTGATTTGTTCAGGACAGTGCCGTGTGCAATAGGCCCTTTTGAAACACTCAGAAAGTTCTGGAAACTGCCCTCCCATGAGGCCACTACTGTAAGTCACTGCAGTCAATAAATATTTTTGCTCTTAATTGTTTGGGTTTCTCTTAGAAACAAATATTTACCAGCTTCTGGTTTGCACAGTCTTCTAAAGGTCACAAATGCTAGCTCCAAGGGGTGCCAGGCTATTCAACCTTAAACTATTTAACCTTGGTTTCCTGTGGCAGCCTGCACTGCCATAAAAGCAGGCATCACTATGGGATGTATGTGCAAGGATGGAGGGGTAAAGTTCTTCTTCCCTTGGCCCATTTCAGCATGTTATTTTTAAAAGCTTACGTGTTCAGAGATGAAAATAGACATCATCATTCTGCTTATCCTTTTGGATAGGTTTGATATGTTGGACACTAATGGTATGCCGGGAAATTAGAATTGCTTTCTCATTTAAATGGATGAAGGGAAGAGAAAAGGATTTTCTTGTGATTGTTATTAGTGGTGAAAGTTTGTATTAAGAATAAAAAAAGGTTCAGGTTTTCCAAAACACCTTTAGTCTTTCTATGTCCTCCACACAACTAGATGGGGGAACCTGTAGCTCCAGAAAAGCTTCAACTCAGTTACTTGTCTCAACTTCCTAAGACTATTCAGACCTGAAATTATGTCTATCAGTATTTCTTATACCTACCTTTTATTTCATCATGACCAAAAATTCCAGCCAGCAGAATTGCTGGGGAACCTATAATCCAACTTTGTGCCTTGACTCTTTTCATGCTGACTCTTTACATTTGAACAGCATAATTCCTGATTACACGAATCACTGCATACTCATTTGGGCTCCTCGCTTGTGAAGATAATAAAATGTGTTCTGAGCTAAACCTTTGGCATAGTGAAGCAGTTTGGGATTTGACTTTTAAACTTTTAGTCATCTATCCTCTTCCTTTTTTCCTTGTTTTGATTTTGGTCTGTTCTCTAGTGGCATTAGAGAAGGTGGAGCCACCCAGGATTGGGAACCATGAGTTCTTCTGAGTGCTATCCTTCTTGCTTGGGTTCAGCAAGAACCAGCTCACTTTGCTTTAAGACTCACTGTTTTTGTCATCTGACCTAGAAAAATCACAAGAGACCAAGGTCCCCCTTGCATGTAGGTCAATCATGTCTTGGGAAATATGAGGTTTGCTTTCTTATCTCTGGGATGGAAATCGATAAGGTTTTCATAATTTTCCAATTTGATTGCTCTGCTGAGTGTTTCTTGCAGAGGCATAACATGTAATATCACAGATAAATGTTATATATATGGAGGCCAATAATAACAGCTTTAAAATAGGAAGCAGTTTTTAACTAAAGATAACAAAAGGCTAGGACAAACTGCCTAGGGAGGTTGTGAGGCTGCCATCATGCATGGTAGCATCTTTAAAGTGTGCTGTAGAGAATATATTTCTTACAAATCTGCCTGGAGGCAAGGAGATGGATTAGATGGCATTTTGAATCCCTCTGAGGGTTGTACTTAAGGATCTTCTGCTTCTAATAAGCATCCAGTCACAAAGTCCTCAGGCCTTGGTGGTTCACACAAGTGATTTTCTAAATAGAGGTAGTTTACTGAAAAACAAAAGCTTTAAATAGGAGAAAGCCTGGGATGCATGCTGGTGTGTGATGTTTTAGAGACATCATAATTGATGTTTGCAGAATTTACTAAGTGTGTCAGTAAGTTGAGAATGTCCAGGACAAAGGGCATGCAAAAAAAGTGGCTGCCTGAAAGCGTTGCCTCTCTTCACAGGAGGAGCCATTGGAAGGTCAGTGCCCAACTTCACTGCTCTTTATGAAGCTGCTTCCCAGGGACGTCATGACTTGAGAACTTCTGCCAAGATAGATCTATAAAAAATGCAT